AGCAGTGAGACTGGCGAACACATTTAGCCATCCCCCTCGGACCACACCTACACCATCACCATCTACCTCTTTATGATTTCTTATCTATTGCACATCTCCAGTCATTGTTTTACACGTCTGTATTGTTTACATTCAAACTGTCTACATGTTTACTTGCACATTGTCTATTGTTTGTTTGTACATTGTCCTGATGCACTGTTTGCACTTTGTTTTGTTTTTTACACTTGTTTTACAATAGAGAGACTTCTGTAAGTAAGAATTCCATTGTACCAGTAACGGTTACATATGGCAATAAAGTTCAAGTTCAAGTTCTGTATTTTTGGATACATGTATCTGTAAAGTTTGGATTTCGGAGTAGGGTTACATTTCTCCTGTAGAAGGAGAAACCACATATTGTAACCCTTATGGCAGCTCAGTCACATAAAAAATATTATATCACACTTTGCTGAACAGTAAATTTGAACTGGACCATAAACCAATAGAGTATAGTCACAATGGAGTGTTAAAGGTTATGTTTAGAAGTATATGAATACATCCCAGCAATGGATCTAGTTTCAAAAAAAAAAAAAGGTACACTGAAAGTTACACATTAATATGCATTGTATCTCCACCTAGCGGTTACTATTGAGATGGCTGTATTTGTTTATTGAATTTCTTTTATCCTCTAATTTGTGTATTGAGTAAATAGAATGTAATGTGAAATGGTTTACCAGTTTTTTTTTAACATTAATCTCTAGATGTTTGGCCAGGGGTTAAATAGAAATGTAATGTAAAAGTAATAGGTTCATTCCATGCTGAAAAGAGAAGAAAGAACACACAACGTTTCAGCTGTGGAGCCTTCTTCAGGTGTGAGAAAGACAGGGTAGTAAGCAAAGTTAATGTAGAGGGAGAACAAAAGCTGGGAGAGAGGAGGAGCGAGAGGCAGGAGCAGGGGACAGAAAGAGAGGCCAATCAGACAGAGTGGCCAATCTGGTAGTGTGAAATCAGGGTAGGTGAAGAGAGGTGTGAAATGAAACCTACAATGAATAGAGAGAATTGAACCTTTGCTTACTGCCCTTTGTTTCTCACACCTGAAGAAGGCCCCATGGCGGAAACGTTGTGTTTTCTTTTCAGCATGAAATAAACCTATTGCTTGTTCCTTTGCAGCCTACGCATGCTGACACAGCTACCCACCTCAACTACTAGAAATAAGAATGTCAGCATAGTACCTGTAAAGTGCTGTATTTTGTCTTGCCATGAGATCCTTCCCATTCATTCGTGAAATATTGTGCAGGCAGAGCAACCAAAGTCAAGAAAAAAAAGCCGGTGACTCTAATCTATCCCTTTTTAAAATTCTAAATACTATAAATGCTAAGAATATTTTCACCCAGATTTACTACTGTTTGAAATTTAAAAAGCCACAAAGAGAGAGACATCTGAATGCTTCTTTTCTTTGTATATCTATGTGGATTTATACTGTACGTGGTTGTTTTGTGTATTGACAGTATGACTGAGCTGCCTTGTACTGTACATTTCCCTGTCTGACTGGAGTGTTGCCAAGAAGGTTCAGTTTTACACCTCACCTCTTCATTAATAATATACCTATGTTTAATCTGCAGAAAAGCAATTCTGCTCTGACCCCAGCTTCCCTGAACATGGTAACAGAACGCCGAGTTCCGGAGTCTTCTTTGAAAATGCAGTAGCCCATTTCTACTGCCTGGCAGGGTACAGGCTCAAGGGCCCTTCGAAGACAGTCTGTGTTCGGCTTCACAATGAGTCCATGGGCTGGAAACCAAGTCAAAAACCATTGTGCCTACCAGAAGGTGAGAGAGGGAACATTTCACATTTATTAATACACAGATGGGGATACATTTGTATGCATGGCAGGCAAAAAAAACACAACAAAGTCTGTGCAACAAAGTCAGATAAGCTTTTTGAAAACTATTGTGAGGCAGGAGGAGTAAGTACAAATAAAGCAGATAGTATCATTATCAAGAAAAGAGGTTACAATATGAATTAAGTTTAGAAATTTAAAATACAAAAGTGGGTGGCACTGTGGCAAAGGATCTGTGCCTGTGGCTGGAAGGTTGCTGGTTCAAATCCCACAGCCGGCAGAGGAATCCTATGCCGGTGGGCCCCTGAGCAACGCCCTTAACCCCAACTGTTCCAGGGGCACCGTATAAATGGTTGACCCTGTGCTCTGACCCCAAGCTTCTCTCCCCGTCTGTGTGCCTGTGTGTCTCATGGAAAGCAAGCTGGGGAATGTGAAAAGACAAATTCCTAATGCAAGAAATTGTATATGGCTATTAAAGTGATCTTATCTCTCTCTTATCACTGTGCTTAGCATTGCGCTAGGGCCCTGGGTTCAATTCCAGACCTGGGGTGCTATCTATGTTTGTATCTAATTTTCTGTGTTCTTCCCATGTTGACATGGGTTTCCTCCTACAGTCCGAAAACATACTGGTAGGTTAATTGACTTCTGGGAAAACTGGTCCTGGTGGGATTGTATTTGTTTTTAATTTCTGCCTGCCCTGTGATAGACTGGCATCCCATCCAAAGTGTACCCTGCCTTGCACCCGCTGCTTGCATACAATGCTAGAATAGGCTCCGGCACCCCCACAATCCTGAATTGGACGAAGCCGTTAGAAAATGGATGGATGGAAATCAAGAAGCTTCAATTAATTGAATTAGGCTGAAAGATAGTACAAGGGGGAGCTCTACAAAGAGTGTTTCATTGCACCACTAATGTTTTATTTAGCAATAGTGCACAGTTCCCTCATTCCTGCACAGTTTAGGGACATCTAGGCACAAGAAAAAAAGTAAGCAGATTCTCCTGTATTTGTTAAGCTAATGATACAAGTAACACATGGTAAATCAGTAATGTGCATTTTGTTACTTTGCATTGGATTGTCAATACAGAGCACATTGATATACAGGGTCACTTGAATGGAACCAAAAAGTACTGTAAGTACAGAAAAAATAACCAATGGTTACATGGAATATTGCATTACTTTTGTGACCACTTTTCAAGAAGGTAGTGGGACAAAACAAAACACTCATTCTCCCAATGTGATCTCCTCGAGAAGCCAATGAATAATAAGCAGTATAATAAATATTTTTCATATTACACTGATTCTACAATGATATTTTCAATGAAGGAGAACATAGGTAAATACTGTATTTGCATTTCTGTTTTCAATGTGCTATCCTGGCCATATGTCAGCTTTTCTGAAGCCCCATGGCAGAATCTGACACCTAACGTTAGATCTCAGCCTGTCAATTTCTGAATTTCTTTGTAGAGCCTGATCCCTAGTTCTGACAGGTCTAAAGCCCTAGTACTTGACTCCATCTTGAGGTCTCAACAGGCCAGATTCTGGCATTTATTTATTTCCCCAATGTATCAGGGATTTCATGTCCCAACATAGAATCACATCTTGAGAAACTGATTGATCTCGTGCCTTGAAGTGAACACCTACTACCAGCTCAAGAGTTGTGTCAACACAGGACTGCATCCTCTAGGTTTGGATAAGGCTGACAATCTCCAAGGCCACAATATGACCCTCTGCTCTTGACATGGACTATTGTGCCAACACTCATTTGAAGCCTCCATAGAGGCTTGGGCTTTGACTGGCAACCAAATCCTCAAGATCAACTCATCAGCTGTGGTCTTTACCGTGGGATGATGCTTTCAAGGATTCAGCAAGGAATCTAGCCTAAGTGCTGAAGGCATCCTTGAGGCTTTTCAACCCCTTGGTCTCCAAAGGATTTGATTTTGTTTTCAGTTCCTATGTTTTGACCTTTTGATTATCAGCATGGAAAAACATCCCTGGGACCTAAAGGCCCAAGAGTGGATCTTTCCAGATTCTTCAGCCTCAACACATCTTCACTCTGTGGCTCCCAAACCTTATGACACTCTCGAGCCCCTGAGAACTGCAGACTGCAGAAGATTTTCAAGGCCAAGGAGTCCTCCTAGCAATAGGCAACCATCATTCTTTGTCAGCTAGCACTCCTGCATCAGTGCTCCTATGATGTCAAGTGCTCCTTTGCATTTGAGTATTAGATGAGTAGCTTTGCCAGCTAGAATAATTAGCAACTAAAATCAAGCAATCTATAAAGGCTAAATGACCACCTCTTGTTTACACATTTTCTTGTATTATTATTTTCTATGGCTATTGTTAGCAGTTCTCTGTTTATTCCTGGGGTTGCTAGGGAATGGGAGGGCAATGACCTCCCTTTGAGTCTACCTTTCTACCACAGCAGCCTGCTGGAACAAAGACCTTTCTCCTTACAAACAGGGAAATAGCGTCACTGAGCTGTAGGGTCTCCCAGATGTTTTGGTAGCACTGTTGGTTGCTCATTTCTAGTGTTTTTGGTCAATAGACATGTGCTGTCTCTCTCTGAGGATGACCTGCATCCTGGCCAGAACATCAGCCTGACAAGAGGGATACTGTAGCTGCAGACAATGTTTTTAACTTCTTAGAAAATTCTGAAAGCAGAAAAAATGACACTAAGAAAATACTAGCAAATTATGGGCAGCGGCCAGATCACCCTGCAGTCCATGTGGGTCCTAATGCCCAAGTATAGTGATGGGGACAATATACTGTAAACAGGCGCCTTCCTTCCGATGAGACATAAAACCGAGGTCCTGACTCTCTGTGGTCATTAAAAATCCCAGGGCATTTCTCAAAAAGAGTAGGGGTGTAACCCCGGCGTCCTGGCCAAATTTCCCATTGGCCCTTACCAATCATGGCCTCCTAATCAAATTACTTGAAGCATCCCATTGAAATGTTATTGAGATGCATAGCTAAGGCATGCCTTAGATCAGGTACTAGTTTTACCTACTTATTTATCTACTTTTTAACAAGGGATATTAAATAGCTAATTTAAATATTTATAATATGTGTAATATCCTTTCAGTATCACAAAAGGTTTTAAATGATTTTAATTGCAAGCGCTATTACGTGACAAAGAAAACCTTGGCACAAGTAGATATTAATTCCAAATTAAAAAGTAAAAAATAGAACAAGTTTCTAAAATTATTTTGTCAAGCATTGTTCTCGTTTTTCCTCTTCATTATAAAATTACTCTCCTTGTTAATTGACAGCTTGTACATTAACACAGGTCCCCTCTATAACCTAGTTGTTTTTCTGTGTATAATGCAGATTTGGAATGTTTGTAATTGTAATGTTGATTTAAATTACAAAGGTTTGATATCACTGCATTTTTCATAAGGGAAACAGTTTTGAATGATCAACATTTGCTTTCACATACAACAGAAGAGATTTTATCATTTGACAATTGTCATGATACAAAAGTGTTTGTGTGGCAGTTATCCATCAGCATTATTCCCACTATTAATGGCAGGATGTGTACCACTGCTATGTAGATCATTTCCATAACAACTTGGGTCTGCAAAAGCTTCATCTCTTTACCTATCATTTATCATTTTAAGGCTTTGACAATTCACTGACAAAGTAGTATGAACCACAAGTAGTCATAACCCGTTGACTTGGTTAGTTTTTTAATCAATCAGTATTACAAGAATTATTCCTAATTGATGCAGCCTGGTAAATACACAGTTCCTACTGATACATTTTCTGTGTGATGTTGCAGATTGTCTAGTTCCATATATTGAAGATGCAGATATTCATAACAAAACCTACAGACCGGGGGACAAACTGATAATCAGATGTCATGAAGGATTCCAGATACGGTATCCAGATATGGATAACATGGTCTCAGTGTGCCAGGATGATGGAACATGGGACAGCCTGCCCATTTGTCAAGGTGCCAATATCATTTTCTAATGTTTTTGTATTATATTTTATATATTTTATACTTTGGTACCAGCACATGTTCATTTTCTTTATATTGGTCGTACAGTGTCTTTCAAAATTATTCAGACCCTTAAACAAAAGTTTTTCTCCCATGATGTTACAGTACCTCCATGGATGATGCCTGCTGTTAAAGCTACTATGTGCTTTTTATTCAGACAGTGACTGAGTCCAGCTATAGCACTCAAGTAATCTGATCTTTTAACAGTATGTTTTATGTTACATGGATTTGTTTGTATGTACTGAAAATGGAGAGTTTGGACACATTTATAGCGTACTTACTGTATCTGTACCAGCACATGTGTTCGGCTTACAGTTTACAGTATGCTGGTGACTACAGTGCCTTTTAAAATTATTCAGACTGTACAAATATAAGCAATGGTAGTGCTTAGTAAAAGCTCATAAAGGTAAAAATGGCAGATGTTTCACAGAAATCCTCTTTCCAGGAAATGTACCTCTTAAATTGCATGTGATAGTGAGTTTTCACATTTGTTGGCTTTAAAGTTTGCAGTTATGACACTTTGAAGTGGCAATTGAATATTTTTTCTATGCACAACCTATTCCACACAATAAATACAAAAGAGGGAATAGATAAATAATATAAAAAAAAATAGAAAAGTCATGATTAAGTATTCAAACACTTTGTTATGCAAAAATTACCTTAATGAGCTACACAGTTTATACACAAATGTATACACAAAGTGGCCTCATAATGGTTCTTGTGATTTCAGAACAAACACTTTAGAAACAAATCATGAAAACCTGTTCTACTAAAAAAATGGAAAGACTTGAAACCTGCTGTACAAAGAAATCTTCAAGCAACTTGAGAGAGCTTGCATAAATCTACCAAAATGACAGGGGAAAAAATTGCACCAAAATGATGTTTTGGTAGAGTTGGTAGAGACTTTCCCCAAAAGATTTGTGACTGTAATTGCTGTCAAAGGTGCTTCCATCACACGTTATATTGAGTTTACAGGTCAGAAAAATTATCAGTTTATTTTTTTTTCTCTTTTGTTTTTGTTGAATTGTTTTTAACTAGTTTAAAGTCAAAGGTAGTTTTTAGTTTGAGCATTGATGTTTTGAATACAATATTAACTTTAAAAAATGTACATGGATAATTTTGTATTTGCACAAAAGGGGCTGAATACTTTTGCAAGACAGAGTGGTTAAACTGCAGATAAAAAAAAAACTTTCCCTTGGGGCTGTCACAAATTCATCAAGTCATTCTCAGGAAATTGGCACTGACATTTTATCGAATACACAAGAAATTCATGATTTTGGATACTGTTTGTCATCAACCAGGTTGATTAGACGCAGTTCTGCTGTGAAAGTCTCAGGCTCGTTGTCACCACTGGAAGCTGTATATCTGCATTGCATGCTTTGTACTAGGCTGCAGATGCTGTCTCCTCTCTCTCATGAAAATCATATGCTCTCTGATCACTTCCTGCGTAGAAACCATTGTGTGTGGCTTGAATAGAATTAGTTGCCTACATATCACAATAGAACATAATTATAGTAGGTGGTATAAATCAGTAAAGGAACAATCAGTATAACTGTTGTATAAAATAGCTCACTGAAAGAATGCTCCATGGAACCATTGCCTTGAAATTGTGTACCGTCAAGCACAGGCTTCAGATGCTAGAACAAATAACAGTCAATAAGTGCTACGTCTTGATTGTAAGAATGGTTAACTTAACTGTTACAAACCCAAGCTGGCAAATTGCAACCTGTGCTTCTCTGTCCTAGTCAACTGGCAATTTAACATGTCATGTTGATAAGACATTTGACAAAGAAACCATATTACAAATGATTTATTGGCACCCTTCTTACAGAGCTTTAGGGAATCCTTACAGAAACATCTTTCAATGGAATCATTATTTTTAAAATAGAAACAACAACATAGAATCATTCAAAATTACTGTACATCAAAGAAAAAGCAGACAGTACCAACTGTCCCTTAAAGCTTGCAAAAAAATAGAATGTATCCCTTCATTTGAAAGGGTTTTACAATGAAGCAAAGCGTTTTGTTCTCCTGTAATGGAGCACAAATAGTGGAATGATGTGTTGTCAGACAATTGCCTTCAAAATCCTGTGCTTGTTGGGGTTAAAGAGAAAAAATAGATTTGGAAAAGATAACCGATTGTTGCTGTCAGTTATTAAGTGTGTATTTACAAACATCGAAGTGCAGTTCTCACTTTCATTAAGATCGATATGCTTGTGGATGGGATGCTTCTTGTGCTGATGGTGTGCCCCATGTGTTGCAGGCTGTTTGCGACCCGTGGTTCCTCCTCACAGCTACATGAACATTTCGGAAATTGAATTTTCTGTGCCGGTGGGAACAGTGGTGCGTTACCAGTGCTTTCCAGGCTATAAACTGGATGGTTCAGAGGTCCTGGAATGTATGTACAACCTCATCTGGTCAGACATCCCACCAAGGTGCCTTGATGTTGAAGGTAACATCAAGCCTATGTTTATGAACAAGGGAATAACATAATGCTGTTGATTTTCATTGTCTTGATTTAGGTAGCAAGGACTATATACAGATGCTTCGGTGTCTGTTAAAATATGGATAGACTGTTAACATGTTACATTTGCTTGGGACATATGTTTCTTTAAAAGATATATTTTGACCTTTGATTTCCAATGGAAGGATATTCATTAAGATTAACAATGGACCAAATTTCCCCGTAAAGACTGGAAGCAATATTATTTCAAAGTGAAAAAGCATATGTTGAGGGTAGATAAATGCAAGCTGACAATGAGTCGCCTTAAGATGTTCCTTGGATTTCTTGCATTCTGCAGAACCCCATGAGAATACCCCCTTGGTATTTTAAAGGAGTAAGTAAGAGGGGCAATGAACTGAAGAACTTTGAACCACAGAACAAAAAATGTTCATTTTTAAATTACGTCTTAATTGCTCAACTTGCTTCAACAAAAAAACAAAAAAACAGTTATCCTGTCAGTATTTTGCAGGCATGAATTTTAAGTACAATCTGTAAACCTTAGGAATTTTTTTCCATAAGACTGTTAACATTATAGGTAGTCCGCTAGAATGGTTTCTGATTATAAGTCAACTGCATTTGTAATTTCCTCTGTAACTGCTTATACCTACTATATCTACACCATACACTTTCTGAGCACAAGCATGCATCCTTATTCAACTGGAACCAGCCCTCCTGCATGCTTGTTACATAAACCTGCTGTGTGAAGAGCCTCTTATTGCACAAGAGATGGCATCTGGTAGCTTGAGTGAAAAGGACTGTGGAGTGAAGCTGAGCGACTCTAGCTGTGCAAATTGCAAATAGTGTTCCTTATAAATTGCAAAACGCTGGCTCTTAAATTACAAAGCATAAACCGATAAAGAAATATCAAGCAGTATCAAATCAATGATAAAGACAATTCTTTTGAATTATTTAAAGATTTATGTACAGTTCTTCAGAGGGCTCAACAGAACTTTTCCAAAAGGAAATGTGAAAAATGAAGATGAAGGATAAAAATATTTAGTTATAAAGCAATGTAAGAGTTGGACTTCTTTTGTAATAGTTTCAGCTTTTACAGAGAAATATGAGTAGAATAGTATACTGTACACAAATAAAAGATCTGAATTCTTTTATCTCCTTGTGAATTATAGGAGTTCCTCTTAGAAGAGATTTCAGCAATTCTTTTGTTTCCTTGTTGTGGTTAACTAAATTTAAATAAGAAGTCAGCTGCATCACTTTCTTTCTTTTTTAGATGTTGTTAATTGGGGCTATACATTTTGTTGCTCAGCATTTGCGGTTCAATAATCTAGAAGAAGGATTAATGTCTGAAAGACACTGAATGTTACATTTACTGTATCACTGGATTCAGTTTTAATTTCTCCTTTTCTCAGAACATGACTTCCACTTTTTAACACTGTTGCTTTAAAACAAGCAAAATAAAAACAAGACCTTAATTTCCTAAGGCTTAACCACATTTCAGCATTTCATGATACAGCACCCTCTACGCTAAATGTCACAATTGCCTGTGCAATACAATTTGTTCTGTTTGTTTTTAACAGTAAAGTAACTTATTACTAGGATATTACTAACTGCATAACAATAACAACAACAATAATAATAAAAAATGTGCTACATAATGCTGACTGCTGAATGTTGCTTGGAGGCTCAATTTTGTATTTAAGTGATATGGGGCCCAGTCATATTAAACCCCCCAGCCCCAAACATTGTGGTATTCTGCTATTTTCTGGAGCACTTGTCTATCTCTGATATTAAATCCAGATTCCTGCTTGACCAGCTGCATTAGACTCTGCAGATCTTAATTTGCTGAGCATTTCCCTTTTAGATTTTAGGTTCTTCAGAATCATATGTCACTGGAAAAGCAAAAGGTTCCCTAAAGGATTTAAAACCATAGCAGCATTTATAATATTTAATAACAGAAATAATAATGGGTCACAGTGGTACACTAGTAAGCATTGCTGCCTCACAGCACTGGGGTCCTGGGTTCAATTCCAGACCTGGGGTGCTAACTGTGTGGAGTTTGTACAGTACGTTCTCCTTGTTTTCACGTGGGTTTCCTCCAGGTGCTCCAATTTAAAAAAAGTCCAAAGTCTTCAATCCAAAAACATACAGGTAAGTTAACTGGCTTGTGTGAAAATTGGCCCTGGTGTGAGTATGTATTTGTTTGTGCCCTGTGATAGACTGGCATCCCATCCAAGGTGTATCCTGCCTTGTACCCGCTGCTTGCCAGAATAAGCTCCAGCTTATATAATCATAATAATACATAATGCTACTGCATAATACTGAGTTTAGTTGCTTGGGAGACTGTTTATGCAGTAAGAGAAATGTACTATATGCTTACCTAAGTGATAAAATGCATCTTGATTTTCAGTTTGCCCCTTGCCTCCCATGGTGGAACATGGAGACTATATCTGCCATCCTAACCCCTGTGACAGGTATATTCACGGAACAGTGGTGGAGTTCTACTGCGACCCTGGCTACTCTTTAGCTAATGACTACAGGTATATCACCTGTCAGTATGGGCAGTGGTTTCCCCACATTCAAGTGTATTGTGTTAAATCAGGTGGGTATAACAAAGTACCAAATATTCTGCTTAATTAAAAAAAAACTTATTTTAAATAAATACTTTTTAGGGTTTTATATATTGACATTTTTTTCTAACTTGACAATGATTCCAGGGAGAGAAGGAAGAAGAAGTTCCAAATGTCATCAATATTAATGATAATGTAAATATTGTATTACAAAATAAATACAATGATTGTGCCAAACCCAGTATAATTAATAAAATAAGATTTTAATTATTATTTTTTCTGATTGGCAGAAATAATAATTAATTATGAATATTTTAATGATTATTTTTTCTGAATGTACATTGTAAAAACAAAATATTGAAAACAGTTTTAATCAGTATTAATTCCTAATTAATATAATTAAGGTTAATCAGATGATGGTTTTACTTACCTACTTAGTAAGATGATATTGTTTGATACCGGACAAACAGACAAACCAACCAAACCAGGGTGTACCTTGTCTTTTGTATGAGAAATTTAAAGTTTTAAATAAACAGTAAGAAATAGATTTTTACCATTATAGTGAGGTATTTGTTTTGTGGGAGGGACATAAATCTAATGTTTAAAACAGCAATACGTTTTTTTTTAATTCTAATAAAAGGATACTTGTTTTTTAATTTTGAGCAGAATATTCATTTTTTTAAAATATGTATACTGTATTTGATTTGTAATTCAACAAAATGGTGAGGGGAAATACTTTCTTATGGTGTTGGTTATTTGCAGTGATGAAGTTTCACATCTAACTGTGATGTGGAAGGATATTAATTCAGGCATTGAAATGAAGAAGAGTCACCTAAATAGTCAATTTCACTTTTACTCAGTTACCTTACATTACCTTTTTCTCTTCAAACAAAAATTGATAGACTGTCAGTGCAACATAGTATCTCTTAAAATGTATAATGGTTTAAACTTATAAATTCAATACAGTGCATGTTTTTACTTCTGCAGAGCCATCCTGGCCAAACTCTCAGGAATCTCTGCTGACAACATGGAAGGTGTTTGCATTCACGGCTACCAGTGTGTTGCTGGCATTGCTCCTTGTCATTCTGGGCAAAGTGTTCCAGTTCAGGTGCAAGACTCACTGTCAGCTGAGGTTTGTACATTTCTTTATACACATGCTTAGAAAGTTGAATCCAAGTAAGGGATTACTCTAGAGCCCTAGACATTAAATATCATTAGTTAATTTCTGAGTGGCAGTTGTCCAATCCAATTACAGTTGAAATTATCTGGATTTCTGCATGAATGGCTCCTAAAACGTGATCTGATCTTCATCGAAGTCTTATTCAACAAATAACACAGAACATTTTACATTGTTATATCTTTATTGAACAAATGGTTTAAATGGTCAAGGTCATTGATTTCGTGAGAACTCAAATAAAATTTGTGAGAACATTAATAAAATTAATGTTTTCATCTCCTGGTTCTTCACTTCTAGGCTTCACAAGTGAAACATTCAATCCATTTTCTTATCCATTTGCTTTCTCTTTTTCTTCTAAAATTATAACTGAGAGACATTGTAGAGCTACATGGTTCTGAAGCTGTGAGTTCAAAATAATTACTATTGTCCTTAATAATAATGAAAAGTTTGCACCTTTCATGAGTTTTTGTTCTTAATCAACAGCATGTGTTATGCTTTCCCACAGAGACGGACAACAAGGTGCAAGTTCTCCCAATTTTGTAGTGGTAGATGGCATTCCTGTACTGCTGCCTTCCTACGATGAGGCTGTGAGCAGCAGTAATGTTCTGCCACCAAGCTTCCCGCCCCCTGCTGGACAAGGGGAATCATTGCACATCGAAGAACAGGGACCTCCTGCTTATCCCGGTCATGTTGAAAGCATCAGTGCAGTGCATCCCGAGACCAGCGAATATGAAACCTGCGAAAGCCTAACAGATTCCTTCGAACACCTCCAAAGTATATGTCCGTCGTCTACGTGTCCAGGGGGACTGAACAACACATCGGAGAGAGCAAATGTTATGACATCCACTGCAGACACGGCTTCCACAAGTCCCAGCATTGACATAGCAGATGGTATGTTTATTTCTCTATGACATGCATGCACAAATTATTACATGCAAAAATAATTTCACTACTGTGTAATTCAACATTGCTTCCCTGAAAGAGAAGGCAACGTGCTTCAGATAACTCTAAAACGTCAAACTAATAAGTGGTCCCATTTTATTTAATACTCCAGCTGGATCTTACAGTTTAAAATTACAGTATTATCAGTGAAAACATTTCCTCATTAAAAAGTGGTTTTAAAAGTGAACACACGCCCTACCCTAGAGTATCAGACACAGTGGGTGAGTCTTTGCAGAGAGTGGCTTAGGAGTGTCATGCTATTATAGAGCTTTGTGGGTGAGGCAGGCATGGTTTGGAGACATTCTGCATGGAGTGCAATATGCAACTACAAACATTTGGGAGGCCTCGGATTATCTACGAGTCTCTCTTCATCCTCTTCACATGTAGAGTACATTGTGCAGTATGAAAGTGTAGAAGAAACACAATTGTCTTGAATAAAGATGAAGTGGAGGATATACAGTACCAAATCTCTTGCCATTATTGCTCCCTAGTTCTCCATCATAGTGCCTTTTCCACAGTCTTCATATACATTCAGCTAAATGTCAAGTAGTCATTTTTTAATTGAAAGGAAACATTAGGGATGGTACACATATTGTGTCATTGTGAATAAAAGAGAATACTCATTTGGGTGACTGGATCTTACACTTCATGTTAAGTGGCCTATTCAGGCGTCTTCCTCAAAGAATCTGGGCAGTGGTTTGATTGTCAGAGGGCAATTTTCATCCCTTCAGTGGTTGTCCTTTTTCAGGAAATTATCATTTGCAAGTATTATTGTCTTACAAAAAAGGAAATCTAAACCACTACAATAAACAAAATCTCTCCAGCCCATGAATATTATGACAACCATTCATGACGTTTATCACAATTCTTTCAAAGTAAGGTGACTGAAATAAAGTAAAATGTGATATATTTAATTTAATAAATATATCATTTTTTATAATGCATCATTTTATTATTCTCTTTCAGAAATACCACTTGTGGAAGAAGAAGAAGGCTATTAATCCTCCTTTATTCAGAGTTCAGATTTCAGAACAAACCCTTTATTTGAAATACACATCTAAGAACACACTTCTTTACTGGTTATGAATCATTTTAGCTTCTTATCTGATCACTAACCTTATAGCAAAGACGTTAATGATCCAGCACTTTAAATAGCCTTACCCAGAAAATGCTTAGTGACAAACAGATAATGCTGTCCAGTGTGGTTAAGCATAAAAAAATACATTACCAGTTAGAAACAGAAATGGATCATATATTCATCCATCTATCCATTTTCTAACCAATTAATCTAATTCAGGGTCACAGGTGAGCCATAGTCTATCCTGGCAAGCAATGGGTGGGATATACCCTGGGCATTCCATTGCTGGGCGAGTTCACCTACAAGTCTACCTTTGGAATGTGGGAGGAAACTACAGCACCCAAAGAAAACCACTGGAAACACACAGGGGAAACCATAAAAACTCCACATAGATGGCACCAGGTCCAAAACTGAACCCAGACCCCCAGGGCTGTGAGGCAGCAATTATACCCCCTGTAGCACCGTGCCACCTGTCAAATGTTCACTGTGAGATAATTTCATGTGCAACATGAATCTCTAATTGAGGATGTGGTATCTATACAGTATGTGCAGAAGATCCCTAACTTTTCTTTCCTTTATTTGCTTAAATATTTTAATGAGGTGTCATCCATGGAAATATGTAAATCAGCCATAGGAAATCTTTTAATGCTCACTGTTGGATTATTATAAACCAATGAAGCAAATATGTGTTAAATCTGTGACTGTTCAGCCAGACTACTTCCATAATCTTTGTGTTTTGTAGTGAGCAAACTATTGTTTCTCTTTTTAGAAACTAAAAGTCCTCTTCATGGGTTGCATGTTTGTTTTTTTTTCATCAAGGGTGTGAAAATGTACAGTCAGTGATCGCTTGGCTATTTCCAAAGATGTTAAAAAGGGTAGAATGAATCGAAAGGTCAGAACATGAAACTTGTGTGTTTTGTGGATGGATTGTGTATTCACATCACTTTTTTATTCAGTGTTTTTCCTTTATGCTACATCAAGGTGGAATTAAGCAAGGCTGAACTAGAAATATTTAGCAGAAAAGTGTTGCATCCACTTACAGATGTTTAAATTGAGTGTTATGAGATCACTTATAATCAGTAATGTGAGTGTAAAAACTACAGCATGAAAGGTTCTGATCTGTTCTACAAATGACTGATTTATACTGACATTTATGTCTTCAATTTTGTAGGATGGAAAAAATACACATTGCAAAAAGCTGTAATTTAAAACACCTTCTCACTCTTAACCGAACAAAATGTTTGCACTGCTGGTCAGGTATACAGAATTGACTGTTAGAACATTCCCCAAAAATGAAGATAAGTAAATTAAACGAACATTGCGAAATCTGTTTCTAAATACATTATATTTCTATAGTTATCATTAAATATAAATATAAAATTACCATATGTTTCTGGGTCGCATTTTTATTAAACTGATACAGATGGCATGGGAATGTTTTTAAATACTGTATATAAAATAATTAAACTATGTTTTAATTATTTTCCTGAACATCCTTGTTTAACCAAGATCTAATTTTTGAAGTTATCTTTGCCAGCCTGAAGGCCTATTTTGTTTTGGTTTTTATGGTTTGCTCTCAGTTACAGAGCTGGTCTCATTATCTCATAACTGTAATACACTACTTCAATCTGAGTTTGAGGTCAGATTGACACTTTGAAGTGTTTTAGATGTGACTGTACCTTTTATAAGGTGAGAAATGAACTGTGAACGGTCTTAAGAAATATTTACATCTGTCTAATCATTAGTCCTAATCATCAGACAACGATTAGTCTAATTGTTTAATTAAGTACTCAGGTTGAAACAAAAACCAAAGGATACTACAGTACAGTATATCCTCCTGGATGTTTGACACCAAAGCTTAGGGTATGTGTAGGATCTTTTCCATAAGAACTACATTTACAAGTCTGCTTGAAGCTATTGAACTCTTCGGAAGCTCTCGGGACAAGAAGGAGACAAGAACATGTTAAACCTCTTGGTATAAATGTATTTGTACGTACTGTATATTGTCTGAAAGTTTTCAAAAACTATTTCTGCAGGGAGAATAAAGATCAAGGTAAAACAACAACAAAGGAATAAGCAGTCACATACAGTAAATGTATGTAAAGTATAGTGCAAGGATATTTTTCTGATGCCAGTTAAAGAACAAATCGCATCATGGATTAACAAAGTCCTGTACATACGTCCTTCATACAATTCCTTATGGGGAAACACTGATTGGAAAGTATCAAATAAAACATGATAGTGAAACAACAATTCATTAAATGCAATTATTCACCCAGAACAGTTGTAAAAGCACAATAGAAAACATGATAAAATCCTTTAAAAAAATCTATTGTAAAACATTGTGGTTGAATGTATTAAAATGTTTTAGTCTGCCTCTACAAATAATAATCCGCTAGTTATGATGATGATGATTATTTTATTATTATCATATTATTGCTGCTCTCTACATTATGTTGGTTTGAAATTATCAGTTTGCAATATACCATGTCAAGAAACTGTTTGGTAACCCCCTAAGTTGGTTCTCATTCTTATGTTAGTCCTACAATTTAATTACTTTGTCATAAATAATAAATGATTATAACCTAATTAAACATATAACACAAAGACATATATATATTATTCAACAAAATAAGTCTAAATTAACTATCCTTGTGTGAATAATTATGTAAACCCGTAGATTCAGTAACTTATTGCAGCTACTGGAGCAGCAATGACTTTTAATTAGTTATTATTTGTTGTTGTTTATCAGTCTCTCACATCAACATCTCATAGGAATTTTGTTCATCTTCCTAATGACATGTGTCAAGTCATTAGGGCTACATACTGTACAAGTGTGGGGCTACTTGCATGAGCAGTTCTTGATCAATCCAAAATGAAAACTTTCTTCTTGAACTACCAATCTGTTTAGGTAAGTTTTATTGCTCCACTTTGAAGCTTCAGCTTCAGCAAATGAATGGATGGCCTGACATTATCCCCCAGAATTGCTCGTAGATCTTCAAATTCATCATTCCAACAATGACTCAAGCCAACCGGGTCCCAAGGCAGAAAAGAAGCCCCATGCCATGACACTCCACCACCATGTTTGAGGGTGGGATCAGGTTGTTCTGTAGGAAAGCAGAATTTGTTTTTTCAACTCAAAATTTTTCTCGGTGGGGTCAGAAATGTAAACTTATACATGTACGTCCAAAGAACATTCTTCCAGTAGTTCTGTAGGTCACCCAGGTCTCTGACAACGTGAGATGGGTAGCAAAGTTCTTTTTAGAGAGCAGTATTTTCTTTCTGGCAATCCTCCCTTGAAAACTTAATCCCACTCAGTCTTTTGTAATGGTTGAGGTATGAACACTATGTTTTGCTAGAGAGGCCTGCAGATCCTTATGTTCCCTGACATTCTTTGTGGCCTCGTGGATGATCTTATGGTGATCTTGGAAGAATGAAAGGTAATGGGTATAGTCACTCCCTTCTTGAATATTTTCCCTTGTATTTGTCTGAAATGGTTGTGTAACCTTCTTCAGACTGATGAGCATCCACTACTGTTTTTTTTAAGTTCTTTTAAGTCTCTTAAGATCTAACATGAATTATGAAGACCTATTCTTACCATTATACCACTATCATTACATGACTCTTATATAGGACAAGACTACTCAGACTCAGACCTTGCTTAATTGGTACCCAATTATGTAACCACCTGATTCTAATTACTCCCTTAATTGTGTGTACACTTGGGGTTCACTTATTATTTCACATACACAGATTCTTAATTATTCATTTTCTTCTATTTCTCATCTGTTGCATCTCAGAAAACATTGAACTGGTAAATATGAAAACTTTTAGTTATTTAAGAAAAGACCCATTGCAGATCAACAGGGGTAAAATAGGAAATTATATTTCCTATAGGTAAATTCGCAAACTTTTTCTGAGAACTGTAAAGAGTCTACAACACAGAGCATTTACAGTAACACAAAAGGAGTGGCAGG